TATATATATATATATATATATGTATTGCACCACGTGGGATGCACAACATAGATTGTGCAGCGAAGATGTCATAACATGTATTGGAACACGTGGAGTGCACTACATTAGATGCACAACATAGATTGCACAACATATATTGGATCGCGTGGATTGCACGACATAGGTTGCCCGTTTATATTGCACCACAGAAAACTGCAACACCGACATTGCACAGCATTGGTTGCACCACATATTTTGCACAACCTACTTTAAACCACTGAGCATGCGCCACATGTACGGGCCCACACACTTTGCACAACATCGACTTCATCATAGATATGGCACAACATAGGTTACACCACGTAGGTTGCACAACAAACATTTCACAACAAAGGCTGCAGGTGTTACAGCATAGGTTCTCCTTTCTAAAATATGATAACAATTTACCCTTCCCCCCCCCGGGATTATCGTCCCCCCTGAAAATGTGCAAAAGACTCTGTCCTATCGTTCGTTTTACACATGAATCCATTCATGTTCAGCCAATCCGGTATCGCACTTCCTCCTAATCATCCTCGTTAACTGTTACTCTGTGCGCACACTTTCCCATCACAACCATCAATTTGCAAAAACTTGCTCTGCAAAAAAATGTAACAACGTCCACACTCGCTCGGGGTCTCGAGCGCATGACGGAATCCTTCAAAAACGCTTGGTTTCTGCCAAGGTCGAGGTCGAGGTTCCCGAAGCAGGGGCGAAACATCGAAGTGAGGTTCCCGAAGCATGACTCACCCGTCGAGATAAATAAGGAAGGTCGAGGTCCCCGAAGCATGCCAACATCAGGGCGTTGCAACACGGTTGTCGAAAAAATGTACGAGCGCGACCTTGCGAATCCTCCTTCTACTTTTCACGATGTTATGACTTGCGACCGAGCGGGCCTCTCGCGTGCGCAAGTTCAGATCATTTGATCGCCTTTACGCGCTTGCTCGTGGAGCACGATCCGATTAAAACAGTACTACGCGGGCCACTCGCGCGCGTCGGCCGCGCGAGCATGTCGGCATCCTTCCAAAACCTTCATCGCTGACAAGTGGACGCCATCATTGTCATCGGCGTGATCATCAGCATCATCATCAGCACCAGCATAATCATCCTCATCACAACCATAATCATCACAATCGTCGCCACTCCTGCATCACCAGAATCACCAACAGCATCAATACCATCATCTGCATCAGCATCACCATCATCAACATCGTCATCATCACAATCAGTATCACAATCGTTAGCAAACTCGCTGACAGCATCGTCGTTACAAACATCATCATCACCACAATGGTCCCCATCCTCAGCACACTCATCAGCACCACCATCATCAGCATCATCACCATCATCATCTGCATCAACATCATCATCGACATAATCACCATCATCACAATCATCAGCATCATAATCATCATCGTTATCAGTATCATCACCATTATCATCTTCGTCGTCATTGTAGCAGTCATCGTCGTCGTGGTCGTCGTCATTACCAGCTTCAACACCACCATCATCACCACCACCATCACCATCATCAGCATCAGCATCATCCTCGTCATCACAGTCATCATCATGTCGTCGTCGCCATCTGTATCATCATATCATCATCAGAATCATCGGCATCACCATTATCATCGTTACCAGTATCATCATCGTCATAATTAGTGCCATGATCATTCGCAGCAGCAGCAGCAGTATCTACACCAGCAGCAGCACTGCCACCATGAACACCAGCATCAACATCATAACAGACAACACTAGAATCGTCACCGCCATTATCATCATCTATTTCTGCCATCTCCATGATCACCACCGCGAGCAAGAATGCGCATTGACAACGAATAGCGGGCAACGGTAGCAGAAAAGTAGGGGATCCACAACATGCCGTGATGAGAATGTGGATGGTGATGGCGATAGTATGACACAGGTGACGGCAATGATGATGCTGATGCTGATGCTGATGCTGATGATGATGATGATGATGATGATGATGATGATGATGATGATGGAGGATACGATGAGGGCGATGACTGTGGTCGTGATGATGGCAATTATAATGGTGCCTCCGATGAAGACAACGACCGTGAGTTGATTATTTCGAGCGACAACGTGCGAAGACGGGCACGAGGAGAGGGATGCGGGCATCGAAAGAACTCATGTGCATTGATGCGCAGTTGCCCACCAAGCCAGACCTATACAACTTCGCCAGACGTGGGAGGCGAAGCGCAGACGTGCGCATCCGCACCAGGCCAGCGAGCGCAGACGTGCCTTTTTAGCACGAGGAAGCGCCGTGGACGTCAAAAGGGTGATCGGAGCCAGGCGTGGCCTGGGAAAAAGAAGGGGCGGACCGCCGGCCGTGCGCCTCCGCACCAGGCCAGTGAGAGAGGTTGTCCCGCCCAGGAAGGGGGGATCAGACGGCCAGGCTGGCCCAGCTAAGGCTCCTTGCCGGAGACGGCGGCCGTGCTCGGGCCGTGCTCTGTTGGCTAAAGGCTCGTTCGATGCGTGCAGCCTGCAGGAGTAGTCGCTTCCTTGCGGTGGTCGTCCTCGCCCAACAAGCCTCCGACAGAGAACCCGGCCTGGTTCAAGTGCTTCGCGTAGACGTTGAGGTAGCGGATCCCTTTCAGCGTACGTCCGTGCGCGACTTTGATGTCCACCCTCCCAAACTGCACCCACTTGGGATCCTCCGTGACGGCATCTGCTGCGCGGTACCGGAGACCGCCAGCCTGCTTCTCGTCCGCCCACCTTCCCGTCAAGTTCAGCTCCTGGAAATACATGTCCGCGCACAACTCGCCGAGCCTCTGCGCCTCCGCCTCCACGCGGAGCAGGGAGACCTCGCTGCGCGCGCCCCTCGGGATCTGGACCAAGAGGTGTCTGCCAGCCTGCATGAGGTCGAAACGCTCGCCGAAGATGTTCTGCAAATGCGGGTCGCCAGTGGCCGCGACGGCGCCCATGCTGGCCCCAATGACGACGGGAACCGGCGTGGGAGCAGTGGTAACGCCCGCAGTCGAACCCGCTGGTCCCACGGAAGAAGCCGTCAGCGTAGGGGCCACAGTGATGACCGTTTCCGCACTCCAGTCAGAAGCAGCCATAGCTTCGTTCGTCTCGGCCTCAATGACGTCAGGCATTGTGGCGATCGCGGCGGTGAGGGACGTGGCGCCCTTGCTGCCGACGATCTCCACCGTGAAACGCGTGGTCACGGTGACGTGCGAGTCCCGCGAGAGCTGGCGGACAGCAGCGGGGAGCCGATCGGGATGGGTCACGATGACGAAGCCCGTGATCTCAACGTCGGAAACGGATACGTTCAGAGCATTAGCCAGACCGGTCTTCTTGGCGGACACGTAGGTCGTGGAACTCATGAGGTCCTCCGCAGTTACGCCGTCTGGAAGAGATTCCTCCGCGGAGTACTCGCCAGCAATCTTTGCGTGATTGGAAAGGTAACTGCCCGTTTCATTCGAGCACGAAAGACCGAATGCCCGATAGTAGAGCCAAGTCGAGGAATCTGTACTGCAACCACACAAGCCGCCGTGCCAGCAACCATTGCAGCCGTCACACGTAGAATTTGCAAGATCGAAGTAGCCACAGCCATCGTCGCAGCTGCAGCATCCAGCTGCTTGGCGCGCTGCTGTGCAATCCCAACAATTGCAACCACATGGTGGGTTCGAGCAGCCGCAAGTTTTCTGAGTTTCGGATAGCGTCGGGCTTGGCGTGGGGCTTGGCGTCGGGCTTGGCGTCGGGCTCGGGGTCGGAGACAACGTGACGCCAGGTGGCAACGGTGTCGGGCTTGGCGTCGGGCTCGGCGTCGGGCTTGAGGTCGGTGGCACTGCATGGTAGGACAGGTAGCTGCCTGCATCAATCGAGCACGTGAGACCGAACACATCATAGAAGGGCCACGTAACCGATTCTGTGCTGCAACCACATTTGCCCTTGTACCAACAACCCATGCAACCGTCGCACAAAGTCATCGTATCGCCATAACCGCAACTCCTCCCATCTTCGCAACTACAACATCCAGCAGCTTGACGCTCTTCTGTGCAATCCCAACAGTTACATCCGCAGGGGGGGCTGGAGCAGCTACAAATACCTGATGCATGCACGTCCCCAAGCGGGGGGTAGGTGGGCGCAGACGTCGGGGTCCGCGTCGGACTTGCCGTCGGGCTTGCCGTCGGGCTCGGCGTTGGATACTGCGTCGGGGACGGCGTCGGGCTTGCCGTCGGGCTTGTCGTCGGAGATGGCGTCGGGCTTGCCGTCGGGCTTGCCGTCGGGCTGGGCGTCGGGCTTGGCGTTGGATACTGCGTCGGAGACGGCGTTGGGCTTGCCGTAGGGCTTGGCGTCGGAAACGGCGTCGGGTTTGGCGTCGGGTGTGCCGTCGGACTGCGCGTCGGGTTCGGCGTCGGGTGTGCCGTCGGACTACGCGTCGGGTTTGGCGTCGGGTGTGCCGTCGGACTACGCGTCGGGTTCGGCGTCGGGTGTGCCGTCGGGCTATGCGTCGGGTTCGGCGTGGGATGCGACGTCGAGGCTGGCGTCGGGCTTGGCGGGCACTGCGCAGTACCAACTTCATTGGCGACGAGGGACGCAGTCCCCGATCTGTACAACCTTAAATCCGCCGCGGAATAGGAACGCGTGGGCGTTACTGATGTCGTCTGTCCCGAAGCCGCGGCCAAAATGTCAGACGCGGACAACTCGGACGGCCACAAATCCAAGGAATGGATCTTGCCTGGCAAATTCTCTGAGAGCGAGTATCGAGCGAACACCGTTATATCGTCGCCGAAAGTTCTGTCTGACGATACGTACAGATGAATCCACGGGGCGTAGGTGGTTGTGGCACTATTGACACTCGCAACCAATGTACTAGTAGTAGCGGAAACTCCGTTGATATATATCGTATCTCTCCAATAACTGCCCTTGTTTATACGCGCGCTGCCAGATCCGGATGACCAGTCCAGAAACGAGAAATGTCCATCGCCCAATCCCGTACGTGCGTCAAATATCTACTCCCAGTGATAGCCTCCATCCTTGTACGGCGCAAGCCACATTGACAGAGCTCGAATGTTGCTACTATACGGCAATTGAACATACCCGAATGTATTTGGAGGGATCTCGATGTACTGGCAACGAGTCGGCGACGTGCCCCCACCACAACCGCAGCATGCTGTCGAGCCGTCATATCCATCGTTCGCCCAATCTGCAAATGTGCCCCATCCAGAATTCCATCCCGATGCATAGCCTCCAGACGTGGTGCAAACATTGGCCGTGTTATACCAGGAGCAAGGTGTACCATCCTTGCTCGCCCACCCAGGGACGTCCACGCAGGTCGCCATGGTCGCCGTCGGTTCTGGCGTCGGGCTTGGCGTCGGATTCCGAGTTGGGTCTGGTGTCGGGCTTGACGTCGGATACCGCGTCGGGTCTGGCGTCGGGCTTGGCGTCGGATACAGCGTCGGCTCTGGCGTCGGGCTTGGCGTCGGAACATGCGTGGCCCCGGGTGGCAGTGGTGTTGGGCTTGGCGTCGGTTCTGGCGTCGGGCTTGGCGTCGGATAGGGCGTCGGATATGGCGTCGGATATGGCGTTGGATATGGCGTTGGATATGGCGTCGGATACGGCGTTGGATAAGGGGTCGGGCTTGGCGTCGGATACAGCGTGGGATTTGGCGTCGGCGACGGCGTGTAGGCCGAGCACACGTAGCCGAGCAGTATGTGGCCGTCGTTGCAGGTCTCACACTGGTCTCTCACCACTCGGTCCTGCGGCGTGACACAAGTCTTGCATGCCGCTCCGCTCCCAGTCTCGCAAGTCAGCCTCTGAAGCCGGTAGGTCACGAAATGCGCAGATCCATCGCTGGCCCTGGTTCCAACAGCTGCGTAGCAAGCCCCAGAAGACATCGAATTCGGCGGCATACAGGCGCAAGTGGTCCCCAGGCTGCCCGAGCCGTCGTTCGGCGAGTCGGAATACAAATACTCGCAGTAGTTCCCGGCCGCCTCCCACTGCGCCACGCGGGCGAAGCACTGGGCGAGGCTCAGCGCACCCCAGGAGGCTCCCGCCATCGCCTGGCCCACAGCGCAAACGAACTTCTGAGCCATGTTGGAGAGGCCCGTGACCCAGGCAGGCTCCGATCCGAAATCGTCACAGGTGAAGCAAAAACTCTTCGTGACAGAGATTGCGATCCTGCCGGAGAGGTCACCGGCACTCCTGTTCATGCTGGACCTCTCGAGCGAGCCGTTGCGGGCCCCTTCGAGGATCGGCTTGGGGTCTGGGAACTTGCTCTTGACGTTTTCGCCGAAGCTCGGGTCGGACGTAGCCCCAGAGAGGAGGCGCAGCGCCGGCAGCAGCGATGTCTTGTTGAATTCCCCCTCCGACAGGCGAGGGGGAGTGGCTGTTTTTTCCCATAGTCTGAGCGAGAACGAATAGCCAAACTCGAGCTTCGGCTTTGGATAGAGGGGCAGAGAAACCGACCCCGAGAAAATATTGAACGTCAGGCTGCCGCTCAGAGACGACTCCCAGTACGACCACTCCGTGCTGGAGGGCCCCGCTGTACAACCGATACTGAAGAACGCAGAGGAACTTGGCTCCCGCTTGTACGGCGAACCGAAGATGGAAATTCTGCCCGTAGCAAACCCTACAATCTTTGCGGCGAATCTTCCATTGAGGCATCCAGCCTGAGCCTTGATTCCAAGAACTGCGTATCCGAACTGGAGGTCGACGCCCAATGTGATGGTAAAGTCGCCTTCGTCACAGAACACTGCTTCCAGCCTCGTCTGAAGATTGGTAAGGAGGTTGTCACCTACAACGATGAGGTCATCGAGCATCCGTCCTGAAGCTATATACCTGAACACGCCAATGACACCTTTGGCCGCAGTTTGGACAAAGCTTGGCGCACACCACGAGCCTCCTGTCCAATCAACTTTCAGGAAGGGAGTGGGGATGCCGAAACTAAGCCCTGGGAGGCTTGTAGTCTTCGTGAGGCAATTAGTGAACTTCGCCACGGTATCCGCGAAACGCTGGGCCATGCCGAAAACGTCAAGCACGTCCCAAATAGTCATACTGCTGACGAAATCGAAGGCACCACAGTCAGTGAATTCGGCGGTGGGGGCTGAATTCCAACAGAAGTCGATGCTCACAGCCGCAGCTTCTGAGTAGATCCCGTTCACGACCCTCTCGCCGAAATTCCACAAAGCCTCGAAAACTGTAGTAGCAATTATCGCTTCGGGAGGGAATAGGGCAGCCCTGATGCCGTCGGCGATGTTCGGCAGACAGCGAAGATTTGCCATGACCATGTTCTTGAGTATATCCAAGAGTATCGAGAATCCACACTCGAAGAATGAGAGAGCGTTGCTCACCCCATCCGAAATACAATCCCAAACGCCGGAACAACTTGTGGGGATGAGATCGAAGCCGCACATGTCACCAACCGCGTCGTTGACGGCATTCACCACAGCTGACAGACATTCTCCGAAGCTCATGAGCACATTCACGACAGTGTCGACCACGCACGTGTACACATACTCCACTGCTTCGGTGAAACACGACCACACGCAGTTGGTGACGCAACTCACAGTGCACACGACCACATCGACGACCGTATCTACCACATTCTCGACGACGTCCCACCAACGACGCCGACGCCTCCCGCCCCAGAACTCAAGCTCTTGAGAAGTTCGCGCAACGGAGCCCGAATCTCGGGAAACTCGCGCAACAGCGCTCGAATTCGTATGCGCCAATCTCGGGCAACTGGTACAAGCGTTATTGCAAGAGTTCCCGCAATTGTCTACGTACCCATTGTGTTTCCGAGCAGGTGCTGGGAAGTGAGAAGATACTCTCGAAGGTGCACGAAGGCCCACGTAACGCCTTTTGGGGGGCAGCTCGTTGTGCCAGCTGAGGAGTTGTGGCGAGCCACTCGTCGAGGGTCAAGAACGCACTGCCATGGGCGCTGTGCTTCTCCACAAACTCTTGCACCGAAGCCCTGGGAAGTAGCACTTGGTCAAAAGGGGTGTTGAGCGTGCCGTTGTCGGCTTCGATCGCGACGAGGTCCTGTCCGATTAGGACGCCCACTAGCTCGTCCACGTCCAGGGTTAATGACTGGTCTTTGTCGAGCTCGCCGAACTTCTTTTCGAGAAAGAGCAGCTGCTCGTCTGAGGACAGATTTTTCCATGCATGTGTCACCGTAAGCGAACCCTTGGTGACCACGAATTCATGGGAGTGACAGGGATCCGTCTCATGCGATGGGAACCCTGGCCCGCAGTGCCCACACTCGTCGACGTAAGCAGCATCGGAGCAGAATTGGCACTGGCTGCAGCTGTCGCACGTACCATCATAGCAAAATTCCGAAGACTGGCACTCGGAATGATCTTGGCAATGCACCACGTCCGGCTCTGGTTCGGGTCCCTCGCTGCAAGTGGCGCAGCACACTTCACGAACTTGGCTCGACAAATTCGCGTCTGCACAGTATGGACCGATATCCGAACAACCACTGACATCAGGCACACGCGCATGAGCTTTTGCAAGTTGCACGGCGCCATAATCGTTGTCAACACAACCAGTCGATCCATTCGCTGGCACGTCGAAGCCCTGGTCGTAGACGCGAGTCTGGATCAACTGCACGTCGGACGCCACATTATCGGCCACACTCTCCAAACCGCGAGTTGGCAGAAGGAGACGGGCGATCACGACAATGGGGAGTTTGATGGCCGTCATGGGCAATAAAAACGTGTATGGACAGAGTGTGTAACTGTTTGTCGCGAGACAATAACTATGTATGGGTTATGGGATGCAGTTGCAATCCGGAAGACTGCTGTATCCACTGTGGCTGCGGTTGCGGCTGTTGATCACCATCCAATATGATTTGTTCGAACGCTGGTTGCCGTGTTGCCTTTCTTGACAAGCCTTGTTGCCTCCCTTGACATACATTAGAATTGTTTGGCGGTGCTTGGCATTGCTTGGAATCGTTGATTGGCATTGCTTGGCGGCGGTTGGCGTTGCTTGGCGTTGCTTGGGTTGCTTGGCATTGCTTGGCAATTGCTCGGCGTTGCTTGGCATTGCATGGCAACCCAGGGCAACCCCAGGAGATCAACAGGGGGAAGCCAAACCCCTTCTCTGAGGAAGAATATCACACCCACCCGTTTCGTTCATAGACCACTAAAAAATCGAGGCCAGCCTGACTGAGGAAAGAGGAAGGCTCCTAGGGGCATACAAGGAGGGGGTAACTTGTAGCATCGTTGATGTATCTTGAACTCACTATGGTCATCCACTCCCTCCTCCTCCTTCCTTATAACTCCCTCGGGTCGCACCACCAAATGTTTCTGTCTGCAAGGCTGGGCATTTCGCTTGAGATGTCCCTGAACACTATCCTAAAACTACATGAACCCGGCACGACACTGATTAGAGGTCTTCTTGCACCGCAGTTCCAACTAGTTCTGACCAGCGCAAAGCAATCCAATGCGATGCAACGCATTACTTGGTATTGATTGGCATTGGCTTTGCAATGTTTGGCATTTGTTGGCGTTGCTTGGCATTGCTTGGCGCTGCGTGTCATTGCTTGGCGTTGCGTGACATTGTTTGGCATTGCGTGGCGATGGTTGGCGCTGCGTGGCGTTGCTTGGCATTGTTTGGAATCATTGCTTGACGCTGGTTGGCGTTGCTTTGCATTGCTTGCGGCTCTCGCCGTGGTGCTTCGCACATTGGTCTAAAAGGCTTGCACGAGCATCGAGGATGGAGGCCACTTCGTCTTCAAAATGCGGTTCTCGCCTGAGCGCCGCGCAAGTTCGTCGTGATGCGGACTTCGCCACGGCGCCGCGCACACTCGTCGTCAGAGATTGAAGTAATCACGACGATGGAAGATGACTCGTTTTCAAGATGTGTCCCTCGCCTTCGCGCTGCACGCATTCGACGTCAAAGCTTGCAACCTTTGCATTGATGAAGGGCGGCTCATCTGCAAGATCCCCGAAGAGTTCTTGCACTCTGGGGTACTTACTTATCTCTGAGGAACTGGGCTGGTGTGGCGGTCTGGCGGCTATGTTGTCGCCGTCGCCGCCCCGTCGCCGCCACATAAGTTGCAACACATCGTTTGCACACACCAGATACTGCAAAAGCCTGTATGGCACCACATACATTGCGCAATGTGGTGTGCTCCACATTGGTTGTGAATCATAGATGCACAGCATCGATTGCACCGCATGTACTGGACAGCACATATTGCACAGCATAGATGGCACATCACAGTGCACTACATAAACTGCATGTACCACATACGCGGCCCCACGTACATCGCACGAGCGATGTTGCACCTCGAAGGTTTACCATATATATATATACACACACTCGCGTACAAGCCTCAGACGAAATTAGCAAACACTTATGCCACATTCATGTGCCAATGCCCCCCAAATGAAAAAGATTGGCGGTGGGTGTGATGAGTTGCACTTCGACCGCAGTCTTCCCCGCGCGTACAAGCTTTGAATCTTGGGGGGGGCGGGGGAGTATCCACTAATTGTTTCCCGGGGGAGTATATACGAATCGTTTCCCTCTACAATATGTCGGAAGAAATCGGTAAAACCATGAGGTAGACAAGCGGATATGATAGATTGGGTTGCAGCCATTTTAACTAACGGCATGACACAGCACAGGCAGATCGAGTCTTGAAGTAGGAAGGCGCTTGAAGGAGATTGAGATGTGGATATCCAAAAATGCATACGCTCAACGACCGGCGTGTATACAAGTTTGCATATACGTAGCACCCCGCAGATGCGGATAAGAGTGAGGGGGCGGTGGGGACGTCGGCAGTCTGCGACACTCTGGAGAAGCCCGCCGCAAGCGTCAAAATTTCACAAATCATACAACGAGCCCGTGGGTCGCGGGTGGGTCGCAGGGTGGGTCGCGGGTGGGTCGCAAGTTCGCGGAGGGGTCGCGGGGTGGGTCGCGGGTGGGTCGCGGGGTGGGTCGCGGCTGGGTCGCGGGGTGAGTCGCGGGTGGGTCGCGGGGTGGGTCGCGAGTGGGTCGCGGGGTTGGTCGCGGGGTAGGTCGCGAGGTGGGTCGCGGGGAGGGTCGCAGGGTGGGTCGCGAGTAAGTCACGGGGGGGGGGGACGACACCAAGCAACAACGACAACAACATCAACAACAACAATAACAATAACAACAACAACGCAACAAGCAGAATCCTCACCACGAATCCCCACTTCAGCCACGCACCCAGGGACAATGAATGACAGGATTGCCTTGGTGGGGATGGCGGCTGTCGGCGGCGAGGCAAGGACCTGGTCCTGAAATAGTAAAGGAGGAAGTCTCGAGCAGGGCCGCTGTTGTTGCTGGGAGCGGCGCCAATGCTGAACAGAGTGGGGCGCTAGTCCAGAGTCAAACAAAACGAAATCTCGAGCGGGAACGATGATTTTGTTGGGACGGCGGTTGTCGGCGGCGAGGAAGAACACCGCCTTGAGTACGAAGGGACAAAGTCTCGAACGGGAACCGTAGTTTTGTCGGGACGGGGGCTGTCGGCGGCGAAGAACAGCACCGCCCCGGGGAAAAAGGGAGGAAGCCTCGAGCGGGAACGCTGTTCTTGCTGGGAGCGGCGCCCATTCAAAAGAGAATAGGACGCCAGTCCAGCGTAAAACGGGAGGAAGTCTCGGGCGGGAGCGCTGGTGTTGTCGGGACGGCGGTTTTCAGCGGCGATGACGAGCACCGCCTTGAGTGAAAAGGGAGGAAGTCTCGAGCGGGAGCGTTGTTGTTGTTGTTGGGGGCGGCGCCGATGAGAGAAAGAGTAGCGCGCCAGTCCAAGGTAAAACGGGAGGAAGTCTCGAGCGGTAGCGCTGGTTGTGTTGGTGCGGCGGCTCTCGGCGGCGAGCAAGAGCACGGGCCCTGAGTAAAAAATGCGAATCTCGAGCGGGAGCGTTGTTGTTTTTTGCAAACACCTCCTCCGAACAATGTCAACATATCCCGCATTGGAAACGCATGCCCGCGCCTCGCTGCGCCGATGCGAGACCGCCAGTGGAGCCCCAGCCAAGGGAAAAACACAAGGAAGTATCGAGCGGCAGGATTGCCTTGGTGGGGATGGCGGCTGTCGGCGGCGAGGCAAGGACCTGGCCCTGAAATAGTAAAGGAGGAAGTCTCGAGCAGGGCCGCTGTTGTTGCTGGGAGCGGCGCTAAGGCTGAAGAGAGTAGGGCGCCAGTCCAGCGCAACACAAAACGAAGTCTCGAGCGGGAGCGCTGACTTTGTTGGGACGGCGGTTGTCGGAAGCGAGAAAGAACACCGCCTTGAGTAAGAAGGGAGGGGGGAAGTCTCGAGCGGGAACCGTGGTTTTGTCGAGACGGGCGCTGCCAGCGGCGAAGAACAGCACACCGCCCCGGGGAAAAAGGAGAGGCAGCCTCGAGCGGGAACGCTGTGCTTGCTGGGAGCGGCGCCCATTCAAAAGAGAATAGGGACGCCAGTCCAGCGTGAAACGGGAGGAGGTCTCGGGCGGGAGCGCTGGCTTTGTCGGGGCGGCGGTTTTCAGCGGCGATGAGGAGCACCGCCTTGAGTAAAAAGGGAAGAAGTCTCGAGCGGGAGCGTTGTTGTTGCTGGGGGCGGCGCCGATGAGAGGAAGAGCAGCTCGCCAGTCCAAGGTAAAACGGGAGGATGTCTCGAGCAGTAGCGCTGGTTTTGTTGGTGCGGCGGCTTTCGGCGGCGAGAAAGAGCATCGGCCCTGAGCAAGAAAAAAGGAAGACTCGAGCGGGAGCGTTGTTGTTGTTTGGGGGCCGGTTTTGGTGCCCCCCCAAACCACTCGAGCGTGAGCCTCATTTTCAATGAAAATGTAGCCGGCGCCGAGGCGAGAGCGCCAAGGCGCCTGGGGGAGGTCCAACAATAATAACTGTTTAGCAATTAAGACTCAGCAACAACAACAATATGTTGAAGATTGTTCGCTCTTATCTGCTCGAGTGCCCGTTAACGCGTATTTCCCAGACCCTCGATACCCCCCCTCTTCGTCTTCGATCGTACCCCTTTTGGAAGGTATACCTTTCTTCCCTGCAGGCCGTGCCCCCGGCAAGCGGCGGGGCGGCCGTGGACCGTCGGCCTGGCCGGCGCCAGCGCTTATCGGCGGCAGCCCGACCCCAAGAGGGACGGACAGGGGACCGACCACGACGACGACGACGTCGACGTCGACGACGGCGGCGACTACGACGACGACGACGACGACGAGCGAAAGCGAGAGCGAGAGCGAGAGCGACAGCGGGGCCACGAAGGGCGACAGCGGGGAAACGAAGGGAATGCGTATGGGGACATGAAGAGCGCGAACGAGCGGGGGCCACGAAGGGCATACGTATGTTGGGCCGCGGGGGGCAAGAACGGGGCCACTGAGGGCAGCAACGGGGCCACGAAGGACAGCAAAGAAAGCCACGAAGGGCGACAGCGGGGCCACGAAGGGCATGCATATTGCATATGGGGCCACGAAAGGCGCGAACGCGCGGGGACCACGAAGGGCATACATATAATGGGCCACGAAGGGACGCGAGGGGGCCAGGGAGGGCAGCAACGGGGCCACGAAGGGCAGCGAGGGGGCCACGAGGGGCTGCAACGGGGCCACGAAGGGCAGCGAGGGGGCCACGGAGGGCTGCAACGGGGCCACGAAGGGCAGCGAGGGGACCACGAAGGGCAGCAACGGGGCCACGAAGGGCAGCGAGGGGGCCACGAAGGGCTGCAAAGGGGCCACGAAGGGCAGCGAGGGAGCCACGAAGGGCTGCAACGGGGCCACGAAGGGAAGCGAGGGGGCCACGAAGGGCTGCAACGGGGCCACGACGGGCAGCGAGGGGGCCACGAAGGGGCGCAACGGGGCCACGAAGGTCAGCGAGGGGGCCACGAAGGGATGCAACGGGGCCACGAAGGGCAGCGATATCCCGATTCCTAAATAATCTGTAGCGTGAGGGCGACTCCTGGGTGCCTGAATGGCGGGAGCGCGGCGCTTGAGTAAATTGTAGGGAACTCCAACGCAAAGGCGCTATTCTTGAATAATTTGCAAGCAAGTCTCCAGCGAGAGCGCGACTCCAGGGCGCCGAGAGAGCGAGTCCTGAATAAATTGTATGAGGCTCAAAGCGAGAGAGCGATTCCTGCATAAAATGCGAGGAAATATCCGGCGGGAGCGGGGGTCCTGGCTAAATTGTTAGGAAGCCTCAGACGGGAGCCGTTGTTGTAACCCGGGGGCCAGGGGCTTAGTTTGAGGAGGAAGACTTTCCCTGATAAAAAAGGGGCGCGAGCGCCAGGAGGGGCACTTCAATTGAAAAATACAATGTGCACCGGAGGGGGGATCACCACACCGGACGTTGCTGTCTCTCCGTTGAGGGGCGGAGCGCCAGGAGGGACAGCAACGTTCCGGAGGGGCGGAGCGCCAGGAGGGACACTTCATTGAAAAATACATCTAATCGCACCACATAGATAGCACCACTTGTACTGGTTCACGTCGACCGCACACCATAAATTGGTTCCACACATCTTGCATCATATATATATATAGATATATGTTGCACCACGCGGGATGCACAACATAGATTGCGCAGCGAAGATGTCATAACATAGATTGGAACACGTAGAGTGCATTACATTGGATGCACAAAATAGATTGCACAACATATGTTGGACCGCGTAGATTGCACGACATGGTTGCCCTTTTATATTGCACCACAGAAAACTGCAACACCGACATTGCACAACATTGGTTGCACCACATATTTTGCACAACCTAATTTAAACCACTGAGCATGCGCCACATGTACGGGCCCACACATGTTGCACAACATCGACTTTATCATAGATATGGGACAACATAGGTTACACCACGTGGGTTGCACAACAAACATTTCACAACAAAGGCTGCAGGCTTTACAGCATAGGTTCTCCTTTCTAAAAGATGATAACAATTTTCCCCTCCCCCCCCGGGGATTATCGCCCCCCCTGAAAATGGGCAAAGGACTCTGTCCTATCGTTCATTTTACACATGAACCCATTCATGTTCAGCCAATCCGGTATCGCCCTTCCTCCTAATCATCCTCGTTAACTGTTACTATGTGCGCACACTTTCCCATCACAACCATCAATTTGCAAAAACTTGCTCTGCAAAAAATGTAACAACGTCCACACTCGCTCGGGGTCTCGAGCGCATGACGGAATCCTTCAAAAACGCTTGGTTTCTGCCAAGGTCGAGGTCGAGGTTCCCGAAGCAGGGGCGAAACATCGAAGTGAGGTTCCCGAAGCATGACTCACCCGTCGAGATAAATAAGGAAGGTCGAGGTCCCCGAAGCATGCCAACATCAGGGCGTTGCAACACGGTTGTCGAAAAAATGTACGAGCGCGACCTTGCGAATCATCCTTCTACTTTTCATGATGTTATGACTTGCGACCGAGCGGGTCTCTCGCGTGCGCTAGTTCAGATCATTTGATCGCCTTTACGCGCTTGCTCGTGGAGCACGATCCCAGTAAAACAGTACTACGCGGGCCACTCGCGCGCGTCGGCCGCGCGAGCATGTCGGCATCCTTCCACAACCTTCATCGCTGACAAGTGGACGCCATCATCGTCATCGGCGTGATCATCAGCATCATCATCAGCATCAGCATAATCATCCTCATCACAACCATAATCATCACAATCGTCGCCGCTCCTGCATCACCAGAATCACCAACAGCATCAATACCATCATCTGCATCAGCATCACCAGCATCGACATCATCATCATCTCATCATCATCATCATCATCATCATCATCATCATCATCATCAGCATCATCATCATCATCATCAGCATCATCATCATCACAATCAGTATCACAATCGTTAGCAGATTCGCTAACAGCATCGTCGTTACAAACATCATCATCACCACAATGGTCCCCATCCTCAGCACACTCATCAGCACCACCATCATCAGCATCATCACCATCATCATCTGCATCAACATCATCATCATCATCATCATCATCATCATCATCGACATAATCACCATCATCACAATCATCAGCATCATAATCATCATCATTATCAGTATCATCACCATCATCATCTTCGTCGTCATTGTAGCAGTCATCGTCGTCGTGGTCGTCGTAATTATCAGCTTCAACACCACCATCATCACCACCACCATCACCATCATCAGCATCAGCATCATCCTCGTCATCACAGTCATCATCATGTCGTCGTCGCCATCTGTAACATCAGATCATCATCAGCATCATCGGCATCACCATTATCATCGTTACCAGTATCATCATCGTCATAATTAGTGTCATGATCATTCGCAGCAGCAGCAACAGCAGCAGTATCTACACCAGCAGCAGCACTGCCACCATGAACACCAGCATCAACATCATAACAGACAACACTAGAATCGTCACCGCCATTATCATCATCTATTTCTGCCATCTCCATGATCACCACCGCGAGCAAGAATGCGCATTGACAACGAATAGCGGGCAACGGTAGCAGAAAAGTAGGGGATCCACAACATGCCGTGATGAGAATGTGGATGGTGATGGCGATAGTATGACACAGGTGACGGCAATGATGATGCTGATGCTGATGCTGGTGATGCTGATGCTGATGATAATGATGATGATGATGATAATGATGATGATGATGATGATGATGATGATGATGATGATGATGATGATGATGATGGAGGATACGATGAGGGCGATGACTGTGGTCGTGATGATGGCAATTATAATGGTGCCTCCGATGAAGACAACGACCGTGAGTTGATTATTTCGAGCGACAACGTGCGAAGACGGGCACGAGGAGAGGGATGCGGGCATCGAAAGAACTCATGTGCATTGATGCGCAGTTGCCCACCAAGCCAGACCTATACAGCTTCGCCAGACGTGGGAGGCGAAGCGCAGACGTGCGCATCCGCACCAGGCCAGCGAGCGCAAACGTGCCTTTTTAGCACGAGGAAGCGCCGTGGACGTCAAAAGGGTTATCGGAGCCAGGCGTGGCCTGGGAAAAAGAAGGGGCGGACCGCCGGCCGTGCGCCTCCGCACCAGACCAGTGAGAGAGGTTGTCCCGCCCAGGAAGGGGGGATCAGACGGCCAGGCTGGCCCAGCTAAGGCTCCTTGCCGGAGACGGCGGCCGTGCTCGGGCCGTGCTCTGTTGGCTAAAGGCTCGTTCGATGCGTGCAGCCTGCAGGAGTAGTCGCTTCCTTGCGGTGGTCGTCCTCGCCCAACAAGCCTCCGACAGAGAACCCGGCCTGGTTCAAGTGCTTCGCGTAGACGCTGAGGTAGCGGATCCCTTTCAGCGTACGTCCGTGCGCGACTTTGATGTCCACCCTCCCAAACTGCACCCACTTGGGATCCTCCGTGACGGCATCTGCTGCGCGGTACCGGAGACCGCCAGCCTGCTTCTCGTCCGCCCACTTTCCCGTCAAGTTCAGCTCCTGGAAATACATGTCCGCGCACAACTCGCCGAGCCTCTGCGCCTCCGCCTCCACGCGGAGCAGGGAGACCTCGCTGCGCGCGCCCCTCGGGATCGGACCAAGAGGTGTCTGCCAGCCTGCATGAGGTCGAAACGCTCGCCGAAGATGTTCTGCAAATGCGGGTCGCCAGTGGCCGCGACGGCGCCCATGCTGGCCCCAATGACGACGGGAACCGGCGTGGGAGCAGTGGTAACGCCCGCAGTCGAACCCGCTGGTCCCACGGAAGAAGCCGTCAGCGTAGGGGCCACAGTGATGACCGTTTCCGCACTCCAGTCAGAAGCAGCCATAGCTTCGTTCGTCTCGGCCTCAATGACGTCAGGCATTGTGGCGATCGCGGCGGTGAGGGACGCGGCGCTCTTGCTGCCGACGATCTCCACCGTGAAACGCGTGGTCACGGTGACGTGCGAGTCCCGCGAGAGCTGGCGGACAGCAGCGGGGAGCCGATCGGGATGGGTCACGATGACGAAGCCCGTGATCTCAACGTCGGAAACGGATACGTTCAGAGCATTAGCCAGACCGGTCTTCTTGGCGGACACGTAGGTCGTGGAACTCATGAGGTCCTCCGCAGTTACGCCGTCTGGAAGAGATTCCTCCGCGGAGTACTCGCCAGCAATCTTTGCGTGATTGGACAGGTAACTGCCCGTTTCATTCGAGCACGAAAGACCGAATGCCCGATAGTAGAGCCAAGTCGAGGAATCTGTACTGCAACCACACAAGCCGCCGTGCCAGCAACCATTGCAGCCGTCACACGTAGAATTTGCAAGATCGAAGTAGCCACAGCCATCGTCGCAGCTGCAGCATCCAGCTGCTTTGCGCGCTGCTGTGCAATCCCAACAATTGCAACCACATGGTGGGTTCGAGCAGCCGCAAGTTTTCTGAGTTTCGGATAGCGTCGGGCTTGGCGTGGGGCTTGGCGTCGGGCTTGGCGTCGGGCTCGGGGTCGGAGACAACGTGACGCCAGGTGGCAACGGTGTCGGGCTTGGCGTCGGGCTCGGCGTCGGGCTTGAGGTCGGTGGCACTGCATGGTAGGACAGGTAGCTGCCTGCATCACTCGAGCACGTGAGACCGAACACATCATAGAAGGGTCACGTAACCGATTCTGTGCTGCAACCACATTTGCCCTTGTACCAACAACCCATGCAACCGTCGCACAAAGTCATCGTATCGTCATAACCGCAACTCCTCCCATCTTCGCAACTACAACATCCAGCAGCTTGACGCTCTTCTGTGCAATCCCAACAGTTACATCCGCAGGGGGGGCTGGAGCAGCTACAAATACCTGATGCATGCACGTCCCCAAGCGGGGGGTAGGTGGGCGCAGACGTCGGGGTCCGCGTCGGACTTGCCGTCGGGCTTGCCGTCGGGCTCGGCGTTGGATACTGCGTCGGGGACGGCGTCGGGCTTGCCGTCGGGCTTGTCGTCGGAGATGGCGTCGGGCTTGCCGTCGGGCTTGCCGTCGGGCTGGGCGTCGGGCTTGGCGTTGGATACTGCGTCGGAGACGGCGTTAAGCTTACCATAAGGCTTGGCGTCGGAAACGGCGTCGGGTTTGGCGTCGGGTGTGCCGTCGGACTGCGCGTCGGGTTCGGCGTCGGGTGTGCCGTCGGACTACGCGTCGGGTTTGGCGTCGGGTGTGCCGTCGGACTACGCGTCGGGTTCGGCGTCGGGTGTGCCGTCGGGCTATGCGTCGGGTTCGGCGTGGGATGCGACGTCGAGGCTGGCGTCGGGCTTGGCGGGCACTGCGCAGTACCAACTTCATTGGCGACGAGGGACGCAGTCCCCGATCTGTACAACCTTAAATCCGCCGCGGAATAGGAACGCGTGGGCGTTACTGATGTCGTCTGTCCCGAAGCCGCGGCCAAAATGTCAGACGCGGACAACTCGAACGGCCACAAATCCAAGGAATGGATCTTGCCTGGCAAATTCTCTGAGAGCGAGTATCGAGCGAACACCGTTATATCGTCGCCGAAAGTTCTGTCTGACGATACGTACAGATGAATCAACGGGGCGCAGGTGGTTGTGGCACTATTGACACTCGCAACCAATGTACTAGTAGTAGCGGAAACTCCGTTGATATATATATATATATATATATATATATATATCGTATCTCTCCAATAACTGCCCTTGTTTATACGCGCGCTGCCAGATCCGGATGACCAGTCCAGAAACGAGAAATGTCCATCGCCCAATCCGGTACGTGCGTCAAATATGTACTCCCAGTGATAGCCTCCATCCTTGTACGGCGCAAGCCACATTGACAGAGCTCGAATGTTGCTACTATACGGCAATTGAACATACCCGAATGTATTTGGAGGTATCTCGATGTACTGGCAACGAGTCGGCGACGTGCCCCCACCACAACCGCAGCATGCTGTCGAACCGTCATATCCATCGTTCGCCCAATCTGCAAATGTGCCCCATCCAGAATTCCATCCCGATGCATAGCCTCCAGACGTGGTGCAAACATTGGCCGTGTTATACCAGGAGCAAGGTGTACCATCCTTGCTCGCCCACCCAGGAACGTCCACGCAGGTCGCCATGGTCGCCGTCGGTTCTGGCGTCGGGCTTGGCGTCGGATTCCGAGTTGGGTCTGGTGTCGGGCTTGACGTCGGATACCGCGTCGGGTCTGGCGTCGGGCTTGGCGTCGGATACAGCGTCGGCTCTGGCGTCGGGCTTGGCGTCGGAACATGCGTGGCCCCGGGTGGCAGTGGTGTTGGGCTTGGCGTCGGTTCTGGCGTCGGGCTTGGCGTCGGATAGGGCGTCGGATATGGCGTCGGATATGGCGTTGGATATGGCGTTGGATATGGCGTCGGATACGGCGTTGGATAAGGGGTCGGGCTTGGCGTCGGATACAGCGTGGGATTTGGCGTCGGCGACGGCGTGTAGGCCGAGCACACGTAGCCGAGCAGTATGTGGCCGTCGTTGCAGGTCTCACACTGGTCTCTCACCACTCGGTCCTGCGGCGTGACACAAGTCTTCCATGCCGCTCCGCTCCCAGTCTCGCAAGTCAGCCTCTGATGCCGGTAGGTCACGAAATGCGCAGATCCATCGCTGGCCCTGATTCCAACAGCTGCGTAGCAAGCCCCAGAAGACATCGAATTCGGCGGCATACAGGCGCAAGTGGTCCCCAGGCTGCCCGAGCCGTCGTTCGGCGAGTCGGAATACAAATACTCGCAGTAATTCCCGGCCGCCTCCCACTGCGCCACGCGGGCGAAGCACTGGGCGAGGCTCAGCGCACCCCAGGAGGCTCCCGCCATCGCCTGGCCCACAGCACAAACGAACTTCTGAGCCATGTTGGAGAGGCCCGTGACCCAGGCAGGCTCCGATCCGAAATCGTCACAGGTGAAGCAAAAACTCTTCGTGACAGAGATTGCGATCCTGCCGGAGAGGTCACCGGCACTCCTGTTCATGCTGGACCTCTCGAGCGAGCCGTTGCGGGCCCCTTCGAGGATCGGCTTGGGGTCTGGGAACTTGCTCTCGACGTTTTCGCCGAAGCTCGGGTCGGACGTAGCCCAAGAGGAGGAGGCGCAGCGCCGGCAGCAGCGATGTCTTGCTGAATTCCCCCTCCGACAAGCGAGGGGGAGTGGCTGTTTTTTTCCATAGTGTGAGCGAGAACGAATAGCCAAACTCGAGCTTCGGCTTTGGATAGAGGGGCAGAGAAACCGACCCCGAGTAAATTTTGAACGCCAGGCTGCCGCTCAGAGACGACTCCCAGTACGACCACTCCGTGCTGGAGGGCCCCGCTGTACAACCGATACTGAAGAACGCAGAGATACTTGGCTCCCACTTGTACGGCGAACCGAAGATGGAAATTCTGCCCGTAGCAAACCCTGCAATCTTTGCGGCGAATCTTCCATTGAGGCATCCAGCCTGAGCCTTGATTCCAAGAACTGCGTATCCGAACTGGAGGTCGACGCCCAATGTGATGGTAAAGTCGCCTTCGTCACAGAACACTGCTTCCAGCCTCGTCTGAAGATTGGTAAGGAGGTTGTCACCTACAACGATGAGGTCATCGAGCATCCGTCCTGAAGCTATATACCTGAACACGCCAATGACACCTTTGGCCGCAGTTTGGACAAAGCTTGGCGCACACCACGAGCCTCCTGTCCAATCAACTTTCAGGAAGGGAGTGGGGATGCCGAAACTAAGCCCTGGGAGGCTTGTAGTCTTCGTGAGGCAATTAGTGAACTTCGCCACGGTATCCGCGAAACGCTGGGCCATGCCGAAAACGTCAAGCACGTCCCAAATAGTCATACTGCTGACGAAATCGAAGGCACCACAGTCAGTGAATTCGGCGGTGGGGGCTGAATTCCAACAGAAGTCGATGCTCACAGCCGCAGCTTCTGAGTAGATCCCGTTCACGACCCTCTCGCCGAAATTCCACAAAGCCTCGAAAACTGTAGTAGCAATTATCGCTTCGGGAGGGAATAGGGCAGCCCTGATGCCGTCGGCGATGTTCGGCAGACAGCGAAGATTTGCCATGACCATGTTCTTGAGTATATCCAAGAGTATCGAGAATCCACACTCGAAGAATGAGAGAGCGTTGCTCACCCCATCCGAAATACAATCCCAAACGCCGGAACAACTTGTGGGGATGAGATCGAAGCCGCACATGTCACCAACCGCGTCGTTGACGGCATTCACCACAGCTGACAGACATTCTCCGAAGCTCATGAGCACATTCACGACAGTGTCGACCACGCACGCGTACACATACTCCACTGCTTCGGTGAAACACGACCACACGCAGTTGGTGACGCAACTCACAGTGCACACGACCACATCGACAACCGTATCTACCACATCCACGACGACGTCCCACCAACGACGCCGACGCCTCCCGCCCCAGAACTCAAGCTCTTGAGAAGTTCGCGCAACGGAGCCCGAATCTCGGGAAACTCGCGCAACAGCGCTCGAATTCGTATGCGCCAATCTCGGGCAACTGGTACAAGCGTTATTGCAAGAGTTCCCGAAATTGTCTACCCATTGTGTTTCCGAGCAGGTGCTGGGAAGTGAGAAGATACTCTCGAAGGTGCACGAAGGCCCACGTAACGCCTTCTGGGGGGCAGCTCGTTGTGCCAGCTGAGGAGTTGTGGCGAGCCACTCGTCGAGGGTCAAGAACGCACTGCCATGGGCGCTGTGCTTCTCCACAAACTCTTGCACCGAAGCCCTGGGAAGTAGCACTTGGTCAAAAGGGGTGTTGAGCGTGCCGTTGTCGGCTTCGATCGCGACGAGGTCCTGTCCGATTAGGACGCCCACTAGCTCGTCCACGTCCAGGGTCAATGACTGGTCTTTGTCGAGCTCGCCGAACTTATTTTCGAGAAAGAGCAGCTGCTCGTCTGAGGACAGATTATTTCATGCATGTGTAACCGTAAGCGAACCCTTGGTGACCACGTATTCATGGGAGTGACAGGGATCCATCTCATGCGATGGGAACCCTGGCCCGCAGTGCCCACACTCGTCGACGTAAGCAGCATCGGAGCAGAATTGGCACTGGCTGCAGCTGTCGCACGTACCATCATAGCAAAATTCCGAAGACTGGCACTCGGAATGATCTTGGCAATGCACCACGTCCGGCTCTGGTTCGGGTCCCTCGCTGCAAGTGGCGCAGCACACTGCAAGAACTTGGCTCGACAAATTCGCGTCTGCACAGTATGGACCGATATCCGAACAACCACTGACATCAGGCACACGCGCATGAGCTTTTGCAAGTTGCACGGCGCCATAATCGTTGTCAACACAACCAGTCGATCCATTCGCTGGCACGTCGAAGCCCTGGTCGTAGACGCGAGTCTGGATCAACTGCACGTCGGACGCCACATTATCGGCCACACTCTCCGAACCGCGAGTTGGCAGAAGGAGATGGGCGATCACGACAATGGGGAGTTTGATGGCCGTCATGGGCAATAAAAACGTGTATGGACAGAGTGTGTAACTGTTTGTCGCGAGACAATAACTACGTATGGGTTATGGGATGCAGTTGCAATCCGGAAGACTGCTGTATCCACTGTGGCTGCGGTTGCGGCTGTTGATCACCATCCAATATGATTTGTTCGAACGCTGGTTGCCGTGTTGCCTTTCTTGACAAGCCTTGTTGCCTCCCTTGACATACATTGGAATTGTTTGGCGGTGCTTGGCATTGCTTGGAATCGTTGATTGGCATTGCCTGGCGACGGTTGGCGTTGCTTGGCGTTGCTTGGGTTGCTTGGCATTGCTTGGCAATTGATCGGCGTTGCTTGGCATTGCAGGGCAACCCAGGGCAACCCCAGGAGATCAACAGGGGGAAGCCAAACCCCTTCTCTGAGGAAGAATATCACACCCACCCGTTTCGTTCACAGACCACTAAAAAAACCGAGGCCAGCCTGACTGAGGAAAGAGGAAAGCTCCTAGGGGCATACAAGGAGCGGGTAACTTGTAGCATCGTTGATGTATCTTGAACTCACTATGGTCATCCACTCCCTCCTCCTCCTTCCTTATACTCCCTCGGGTCGCACCACCAAATGTTTCTGTCTGCAGGGCTGGGCATTTCGCTTGAGATGTCCCTGAAAACTTACTATCCTAAAACTACATGAACCCGGCACGACACTAATTAGAGGTCTTCTTGCACCGCAGTTCCAACTAGTTCTGACCAGCGCAAAGCAATGCAATGCGATGCAACGCATTACTTGGTATTGATTGGCATTGGCTTTGCAATGTTTGGCATTTGTTGGCGTTGTTTGGCATTGCTTGGCGCTGCGTGTCATTGCTTGGCGTTGCGTGACATTGTTTGGCATTGCGTGGCGATGGTTGGCGCTGCGTGGCGTTGCTTGGCATTGTTTGGAATCATTGCTTGACGCTGGTTGGCGTTGCTTTGCATTGCTTGCGGCTCTCGCCGTGGTGCTTCGCACATTGGTCTAAAAGACTTGCACGAGCATCGAGGATGGAGGCCACTTCGTCTTCAAAATCCGGTTCTCGCCTGAGAGCCGCGCAAGTTCGTCGTGATGCGGACTTCGCCACGGCGCCGCGCACACTCGTCGTCAGAGATTGAAGTAATCACGACTCGTTTTCAAGATGTGTCCCTCGCCTTCGCGCTGCACGCATTCGACGTCAAAGCTTGCAACCTTTGCATTGATGAAGGGCGGCTCATCTGCAAGATCCCCGAAGAATTCTTGCACTCTGGGGTACTTACTTATCTCTGAGGAACTGGGCTGGTGTGGCGGTCTGGCGGCTATGTTGTCGCCGTCGCCGCCCCGTCGCCGCCACATAATTTGCAACACATCGTTTGCACACACCCGATACTGCACAAGCCTGTATGGCACCACATACATTGCGCCACGTGGTTTGCTCCACATTGGTTGTGAACCATAGATGCACAGCATCGATTGCACCGCATGTACTGGACAGCACATACTGCACAGCATAGATGGCACATCACAGTGCACTACATAAACTGCATGCACCACATACGCGGCCCCACGTACATCGCACAAGCGATGTTGCACCTCGAAGGTTTACCATATACATATGAAAACACACACTCGCGTACAGGCCTCAGACGAAATTAGCAAACATTTATGCCACATTCATGTGCCAATGCCCCCCAAACGAAAAAGATTGGCGGTGGGTGTGATGAGTTGCACTTCGACCGCAGTCTTCCCCGCGCGTACAAGCTTTGAATCTTGGGGGGGGCGGGGGAGTATTCACTAATTGTTTCCCGGGGGAGTATATACTAATCGTTTCCCTCTACAATATGTCGGAAGAAATCGGTAAAACCATGAGGTAGACAAGCGGATATGATAGATTGGGTTGCAGCCATTTTAACTAACGGCATGACACAGCACAGGCAGATCGAGTCTTGAAGTAGGAAGGCGCTTGAAGGAGATTGAGATGTGGATATCCAAAAATGCATACGCTCAACGACCGGCGTGTATGCAAGTTTGCATATACGTAGCACCCCGCAGATGCGGATAAGAGTGAGGGGGCGGTGGGGACGTCGGCAGTCTGCGACACTCTGGAGAAGCCCGCCGCAAGCGTCAAAATTTCACAAATCATACAACGAGCCCGTGGGTCGCGGGTGGGTCGCAGGGTGGGTCGCGGGTGGGTCGCAAGTTCGCGGATGGGTCGCGGGGTGGGTCGCGGGTGGGTCGCGGGGTGGGTCGCGGCTGGGTCGCGGGGTGAGTCGCGGGTGGGTCGCGGGGTGGGTCGCGAGTGGGTCGCGGGGTTGGTCGCGGGGTAGATCGCGGGGTGGGTCGCGGGGAGGGTCGCAGGGTGGGTCGCGAGTAAGTCACGGGGGGGGGGACGACACCAAGCAACAACGACAACAACATCAACAACAACAATAACAATAACAACAACGCAACAAGCAGAATCCTCACCACGGATCCCCACTTCAGCCACGCACCCAGGGACAATGAATGACAGGATTGCCTTGGTGGGGATGGCGGCTGTCGGCGGCGAGGCAAGGACCTGGTCCTGAAATAGTAAAGGAGGAAGTCTCGAGCAAGGCCGCTGTTGTTGCTGGGAGCGGCGCCAATGCTGAACAGAGTAGGGCGCTAGTCCAGAGTAATACAAAACGAAATCTCGAGCGGGAACGCTGATTTTGTTGGGACGGCGGTTGTCGGCGGCGAGGAAGAACACCGCCTTGAGTACGAAGGGACAAAGTCTCGAACGGGAGCCGTAGTTTTGTCGGGACGGGGGCTGTCGGCGGCGAAGAACAGCACCGCCCCGGGGAAAAAGGGAGGAAGCCTCGAGCGGGAACGCTGTTCTTGCTGGGAGCGGCGCCAATTCAAAAGAGAATAGGACGCCAGTCCAGCGTAAAACGGGAGGAAGTCTCGGGCGGGAGCGCTGGTGTTGTCGGGACGGCGGTTTTCAGCGGCGATGACGAGCACCGCCTTGAGTGAAAAGGGAGGAAGTCTCGAGCGGGAGCGTTGTTGTTGTTGTTGTTGGGGGCGGCGCCGATGAGAGAAAGAGTAGCGCGCCAGTCCAAGGTAAAACGGGAGGAAGTCTCGAGCGGTAGCGCTGGTTGTGTTGGTGCGGCGGCTCTCGGCGGCGAGCAAGAGCACGGGCCCTGAGTAAAAAATGCGAATCTCGAGCGGGAGCGTTGTTGTTTTTTGCAAACACCTCCTCCGAACAATGTCAACATATCCCGCATTGGAAACGCATGCCCGCGCCTCGCTGCGCCGATGCGAGACCGCCAGTGGAGCCCCAGCCAAGGGAAAAACACAAGGAAGTATCGAGCGGCAGGATTGCCTTGGTGGGGATGGCGGCTGTCGGCGGCGAGGCAAGGACCTGGCCCTGAAATAGTAAAGGAGGAAGTCTCGAGCAGGGCCGCTGTTGTTGCTGGGAGCGGCGCTAAGGCTGAAGAGAGTAGGGCGCCAGTCCAGCGCAACACAAAACGAAGTCTCGAGCGGGAGCGCTGACTTTGTTGGGACGGCGGTTGTCGGAAGCGAGAAAGAACACCGCCTTGAGTAAGAAGGGAAGGGGGAAGTCTCGAGCGGGAACCGTGGTTTTGTCGAGACGGGCGCTGCCAGCGGCGAAGAACAGCACACCGCCCAGAGGAAAAAGGAGAGGCAGCCTCGAGCGGGAACGCTGTGCTTGCTGGGAGCGGCGCCCATTCAAAAGAGAATAGGGACGCCAGTCCAGCGTGAAACGGGAGGAGGTCTCGGGCGGGAGCGCTGGCTTTGTCGGGGCGGCGGTTTTCAGCGGCGATGAGGAGCACCGCCTTGAGTAAAAAGGGAGGAAGTCTCGAGCGGGAGCGTTTTTGTTGCTGGGGGCGGCGCCGATGAGAGGAAGAGCAGCTCGCCAGTCCAAGGTAAAACGGGAGGATGTCTCGAGCAGTAGCGCTGGTTTTGTTGGTGCGGCGGCTTTCGGCGGCGAGAAAGAGCATCGGCCCTGAGCAAGAAAAAAGGAAGACTCGAGCGGGAGCGTTGTTGTTGTTTGGGGGCCGGTTTTGGTGCCCCCCCAAACCACTCGAGCGTGAGCCTCATTTTCAATGAAAATGTAGCCGGCGCCGAGGCGAGAGCGCCAAGGCGCCTGGGGGAGGTCCAACAATAATAACTGTTTAGCAATTAAGACTCAGCAACAACAACAATATGTTGAAGATTGTTCGCTCTTATCTGCTCGAGTGCCCGTTAACGCGTATTTCCCAGACCCTCGATACCCCCCCTCTTCGTCTTCGATCGTACCCCTTTTGGAAGGTATACCTTTCTTCCCTGCAGGCCGTGCCCCCGGCAAGCGGCGGGGCGGCCGTGGACCGTCGGCCTGGCCGGCGCCAGCGCTTATCGGCGGCAGCCCGACCCCAAGAGGGACGGACAGGGGACCGACCACGACGACGACGACGTCGACGTCGACGACGGCGGCGACTACGACGACGACGACGACGAGCGAAAGCGAGAGCGAGAGCGAGAGCGACAGCGGGGCCACGAAGGGCGACAGCGGGGAAACGAAGGGAATGCGTATGGGGACATGAAGAGCGCGAACGAGCGGGGGCCACGAAGGGCATACGTATGTTGGGCCGCGGGGGGTAAGAACGGGGCCACTGAGGGCAGCAACGGGGCCACGAAGGACAGCAAAGAAAGCCACGAAGGGCGACAGCGGGGCCACGAAGGGCATGCATACTGCATATGGGGCCACGAAAGGCGCGAACGCGCGGGGGCCACGAAGGGCATACATATAATGGGCCACGAAGGGACGCGAGGGGGCCACGGAGGGCAGCAACGGGGCCACGAAGGGCAGCGAGGGGGCCACGAGAGGCTGCAACGGGGCCACGAAGGGCAGCAAGGGGGCCACGGAGGGCTGCAACGGGGCCACGAAGGGAAGCGAGGGGGCCACGAAGGGCAGCAACGGGGCCACGAAGGGCAGCGAGGGGGCCACGAAGAGCTGCAAAGGGGCCACGAAGGGCAGCGAGGGGGCCACGAAGGTCT